GGATCAAACAAATACATATCGCCCAGCAAAGAATTGCTTTAATTTTTTGCCCAACACTTACAATCGTCATGTTTCTGAACAACTTCTTCCAAGTCTCTCCCTGAACTTCCTGTCCAGTTCAAGATCACAAAGGACAGCGAAGACTCCAGCAACTGTTCATCTACTACCTCGGACAGAGGGGTCCAGATGGGAGCGGAGTGACTTGCCTTGCTGTGCCTGTGTGTTTGTGGAGACGCACACAGCTTACTTGCACACACAAGGGTGGCTCCATAGCACTCTGCAAGATAAAGGAGCCATCCTAATACAAAAGATCAAAAGCCAATGCTCGTGGGACCGGCTGGTTCTACAGGAAACAAACTTTTAAACATCAAGAAGCAGCATGCATTATAAGGATGTGCGTGAGCGTGGAAGATGTGGAATAGCTTAAAGCACTTTTGACTTTAAAGGAGAATTACGGGGGCAGTGTTTTCCCCCATAGTTCTCCTTAGGGTAACGGGACGGGAGGACACAAACTATCGTCCTCCCGTCACCCTAGGCTCAGTATACAGCTCGCGGTATACTGAGACGCCGCAGCTGCGTGAGTGACAGCTGGCTCTACCTATCTAAAGGCAGAGCCAGCTGTACCCGCCCCCTCCCCCGTCCGTTCCGCCAGTCAGCGCTGGAGGATCGGAGCGGGGAGGGGGTAATCCAGCCCCTCCCCTGTCACGGCAGAGAGCTGTGACAGGATCGAGAGGTGAGCGAACGCCCGTATGTGTTCTCTCACCTCCCGATCTACTGAGCCGACCTGTGACAGTCTCATTGTCACAGGTCGGCTAGAACTATGAGGAGAGTGAAAAGCACTCCCCTCCCCCCCCATAGTTCTCCTTTAATGTCACTTTAGCTATCACCTCTCCTTGTGTCCCTTGAGCTATTTTACATTTTGCTTATTTATTTATTTTTTTACATTCACATGTCACCTTTTTTTTCCCTTTTTGTTCATTCTGTTTGATCTCGCTTTGATGCGCCACATTTAAGAAACGCCCAAAGTACCAAAAGAACCATCTACGTAATTTCTTTCAAATAAAATAAAAAGGGGAAAAATAAATAGGAATAGGTCACATGTGCCCGTCTGAATGAGAGGACTGTGCAGTGTGAAGCAATCTTGGTCCCCAGAGGAAATAAAACATATTTAATGATCACAATAAAAAAGATTATGTGATTATGTCAAGTTGGAATTTTTTTTTTCAGTTTTGGATAATTTGGGAAAGGATTCAATTTTTTTTTTCCTTTACACTTACACCTATAAAAATACACTATATCGCCAAAAGTATTGGGACGCCTTTACACGCACATGAACTTTATAGGCATCCCAGTGTTAGTCCGTAGGGTTCAGTATTGGGTTGACTCCGCCCTCTAATGGCATCCCAGTCTTAGTCCGTAGGGTTCATAGCGTGATTGGTCCCTCCAGAGGACACGCATAGAGTCCAGTGGCGGCGCGCTTTACACCGCGGCATCCCACGCTTTGCATTGCACTTGGTGATGTACGGCTTGGATGCAGCTGCTCGGCCATGGAGACCCATTCCATGAAGCTCTCTACGCACTGTTGTTGTGCCAATCTGAAGGCCGCATGGAGTTTGGAGGTCTGTAGCTATTGACTCTGCAGATAGTTGGCGACTTCTGCGCACTGTGCGCTTCAGCATGCGCTGACCCCGCTCTGTCACGTGACGTGGGCGACCACTTCCTAGCTGAGTTGCTGTTGTTCCCGGTTGCTTCCACTTTGTTATAATCCCAGTAACAGGCGACCGCGGCGGAATATTTAGTAGCCGGGAAATGTCACGAACACCTGAATCCAATGATTTGGAGGGGGAGGGGCCAAATACTTTTGGCAATATAGTGTATATATATATAGTCCTGAACTGATAACATTGATAAAAGTACATCACAATACATGTAGCCACAGAACTGCAACCGTCTTTGTCTGTCTGGAAGCAATAAAGATGCACATAGACGAGAGCCACAAAGTCAGCTCTAGATGGCGCCCAACAACTTTGGTGACAACTGTAACATTTTGGATCACATTCAGTCCCAGTGGTCACCATATCGAGAGCAGCGAATCTTCCCAGAAGGGGCACAGACAATAAAAATCTGACAGGGGTTCCAACCCCCCCATCTAAACAAGTGGTCACTGTGTAGCACTGCAAGGAGAAGAGAGATACAAAAGGATACAAATTAGGATTCACCAATGAGATTATTTCTGGTGTTCAAAAAGGCCTAGAAGCCCTGAGAGTCCTCTACTTATAGTTCATTCCCCAATCTCAGCACCAGATGGCGCCCAATAACCGCCAATTAAAGCCGTAGCCGCAATGTCATCGTCACTCCTCCCGTCACATCTCCATGAAAGTGAACGCGGGATCTTCATTATTATCATCATAATGTTCCCTGCTCCCGTAATGTTTCCCTGGAAGTGATATTTGACGTCACCTCACCATTGTTTCACAATTGTATTTCATTTACAAACACGTTGTTGCCCCCCAGAGGCCGTCGGCTGCCATGCAGCGCACACAACATAGTCACCAAGTGACTGCTGAAATAAAATCAACGTCAGGACCGGCCATGTCAAACATTTCCATATGATTATTATTATTATTATTATTATTATTATTGTTATACAGGATTTATAGAGCGCCAACAGTTTGCGCAGCGCTTTACAATATAAGGAAGACATTACAATCACAAGACAAGATGGTAAGGAGGGCCCTGCCCCTGAGAGCTTACAATCTAAAAGAGGAGGGGCCAGTGATACATGAGGAGGGAGCTGCGCGGGGATGAATGTTTGAGAACGTGATGGCTCAGTGGTCAGGTTGAGGTGGGATCGGCTTACCTGAAGAGATGAGTCTTTAGTGATCGCCTAAAGGCAGTCAAGGTGGGCGACAGACGGACAGGTTGGGGTAAAGAGTTCCAGAGGATGGGAGAGACTCTAGAGAAGTCCCGGAGGCAAACATGGGAGGAGTTGACTAGGGAGCCGGAAAGCAGGAGGTATTGGGAAGAGCGGAGGAGACGGTTAGGGTGATACTTTGAGACAAGGTTGGAGATATAGCCGGGGGCAGAGTTGTTGACGGCTTTGTGAGCGAATGTTAATATTTTGAATTTTATCCTTATACACTGCATACGGATTACATAGTTACATAGTTACATAGTTACATAGGTACATAGTTACATAGGTACATAGGTACATAGTTACATAGTTACATAGGTACATAGGTACATAGTTACATAGTTACATAGGTACATAGTTACATAGGTACATAGTTACATAGTTACATAGGTACATAGTTACATAGTTACATAGGTACATAGTTACATAGTTACATAGGTACATAGTTACATAGTTACATAGGTACATAGTTACATAGGTACATAGTTACATAGGTACATAGTTACATAGTTACATAGTTACATAGTTACATAGGTACATAGTTACATAGTTACATAGGTACATAGTTACATAGTTACATAGTTACATAGTATTTGAGGTTGAATAAAGACATTAGTCCATCAAGTCCAACCTATTGATTCATCAGGCTTGTCACTGTGCTCAATATACACTGCGACCTGTCACGCTGCTGCCTCCAAAAAAAGAAGCTTTGATGATAAAATGCCTCGGCCATTTCAAATACCCAAAGTAGGGACACGGCACTGGACAGGGAAAGGAGAAGCAGCAAGCTGGTGAGCTCATCTCTCTGTCACTCTTCTCTCTCCTTCTACCAGCGTGCTCCTTGTCAGAACTTGAGCTGGTTGGGTTGCTTGTGCTGCTTCTTCCTTTCACACTCCAGCTCTGCTGTACAGGGGCTGCAATAGGCTGATACCGGGTCATATTCAGGTACTCACGCTGCTTGTATATAAAATATACCTATCTATTTATCTATCTATCTATCATCTATCTATCTATCTATCTATCTAGCAATCCCTGCCATCCTCATCAGAGTTAATCAGGGCGCACATCCCTTGCAGCGCCAGTCAGGTCATTATCGCATTGTTCAGGAGCACATCTTAAGGACCGAGGCAGGAAAAGTTGCTGCAGGAAAAGTGTCGTTTCCCCAACTTCCTCCCTCGTCTGCCTGCGAGCCGAAATATTCCCACATCGCTTCTCCTCCCCAGACCTGCGCCGAGAGTCAGACAATGAGCGTATCCTCAGGCTCCGCTGGGCGAACAACATAGGAGCGTCGCTGCCGCCATCGGAGGACACCTGCGCTCCCCCAACTGGACCACGTTCCCTATTTTTCTGGATTTTTGGGGGCTTTTTTTACAATTATTTTTGGGGCTTTTTTGGGGGGGGCATTTTTTTTCAGAATCACAAAGTGGGCGTCCATTCCAATGTGGACATGTATTTGTTTGTAGTCTTACTCTTGACGCGTAAGTATCATCCAACGCCATAAGAGGAAGGTAACGGGGCCGTCTCTTCCCCGGGGAAATAATTCCGTCTCTTTTTGTTTTTCCAGCCTGGACGGTCTGCGGACAATCTGACAGTGAGTACCCCGCCTCTGTTCATGTCTTCCTCATTTCACATGTCGGGGGTCTGCAGGTTCTGCCTGCACACGGGTGACGACGACATTGTGAAGAGTCAGTGCAGCTTTAAAGGGGACCTGTCGGGGCACAAATAAGGGAGTTGTCACCCTCTGTGCTGTCATTAGTTGTCTTTCCCGAATTTGTGTCCCCGATTGCAACGCTGCGATCTGTGTGTGTGTGCCAGATCCGCCGTAGGCATCCAATGAGCACTAAATTTGCCCCTTATTGCAATTCAATCACGTCACTAATTATTCCAAATGTATAAAGTTTTTGGGCCCAAATACCAAAAATCTTGTTTGCATCTGGAAAACACAAATGTGCCAATGGTTAGGGGGGGCCGAAGCT